TATATATATATATATATATGTTAGTATATGTATGCGTGTGTATAGTAAAAAATTTCGACAAAGCGGTGGCCCGTGACACCGCTTGGGTCCATGTAAATCCGTCATTGGGTCATCTTACTTCATTTGAATCATCCCATATTTTAATTAGAAACTAATTTTGAGTATTCTTGTTTTAGAGAATTTTTGTTATATTCCATAGAGTTAGTGTTTGGGAAACACTTTGAGTGAACCTCTTCTTTGTGAGTGATTATAGCGAGGTTATTCTCTTGGATATATTTTGGGATAATTAGAGTTTCATCTCAAATTTTGTGCTCTCTTTTGTATACCAGTCGTTATAGTGAAATTGCTCTTCTTCGCTTGTGAGCGTAGATCTCTTTAACCGAACCACATTAAATTTTGTGCCTTCTTTATCTTCTTCAATTAGCATTATTATCAACTTGCATTGCCTTTGTTATTGTCATTATAATGTTGTTTGGCTAAATTCCGCACTACCCAAATTTCCGATCTTAACGTCTCGTCAATATGAAATTTTCACAAGAAGAAACTCTTATTCTTCATAAACAAATCCATATTACGAAAAGAGTCAAAAAGAAAATAATTTAAATATGTAAGGAAAGATTTTGAAAAGATTTGGAAGTAAAAATAATGATAGACTAAAAAGAAAAATGTGTTACATAGAATGTAACATATGAAGTAATAAACTAATAATCATAGGAAATTTCTTTTATGAATCATGGTGATCCAGGTTGGCAATTGAGGCAAATCCAACACATAAGCGATTTAAATATATATACATATATTTAAATTTTTTACATAAAACCTTTAAAAATATGAATAGGTTAGGAGACGTATCTGGTTTTAAATTCTAAACTTGTCTCTGATTAAGAGCCCTTAAATTTACAAATATTTAACTACCTTTTCAATCTGTGATCAAATCGAATACTTTTAGAATGTTAATTACTATGAATTTTATTGACTAAATTTTTTAAATGTTTTGAACATGCAAGATTATGTTGAGAAGTTCACAATTTGTCCTCTTTTTTTTTTAAATAGTTTAGATATTCAGGGAGTTATAGTTTAGATATGTTTGTAATTCTAGCTTCTTAGTCAAAGCTTACAATCATTGTTGAATTTCTAAGCATGGTCTATCAGAAAAATACAGCTCTTCTGATATCCGAAAAAAATAAATAAGGAAACTGCGATCTTTGTTTAAACAATATTCAAACCAAAATACATGTATAAAACATAGAGAATATGTTCAATTCGACAGCAAGGTTGACTTACAGCAATTATGAACGAGATCAAGTGTCAAATATGAACGAGATCAAGTGTCAAATATGATTTACCTAGATGTCCATATTGCAACCGTGGTAAAATTAAATTCATCATTTATAAGCTGCTCGTTGAGTTCAAGGTGGAACAGAAGAATCTAATCTATTTTCAACTACTATAAAAATCTCCTCTTATGCACACATTGGTTGCTAGGTTGACTTTGAGCAATTATGATCGTCTCTTATCACTATGAACTATGTTGATTTGACCCAATGTCGTAAGGCAAGCCAAATTCCTGCACTCCAACTCCCCATTCACTCGATTTTCACTTCTCACTCATCCGGGACATATTCAAGCATCAAAAAGATAAGAAGATGAACTCCCATGGTGTATTTTAACTATACCGCTGCAACAGAAACACTCGTCCCCAGTTACGCGGAATACTTTAATTTCATGACTGCTAGGTTTGACTTGATTTCGAACTGTAAATATAACTTTTAACATAAACTCACTACATAAAAGCACACGATTGTGCATATATATCTTAGCACGAGCACTGCGCATATATATTGCACGAGCCTTTTGTTTCCTTCACAGCTACACTCTATGATAGTAAACGCTGCATACTCCACACGCTACACTTCCAGCACCTCCCTTCATCTGGCAAGACAATATGTCACTCACCTGAAGGCAGTCATTTACCAACTTGGTTTAAAACTAGAGGTTATCGATACACATCCAATCACTTAGAAACACTAGTAAGTACGCCATTCATCAAATCATCTTTCTGAAGGTTATATGGCAAATCATAAGGGATGCATGGAAATCCTTCAATGGCTCCATGCAGCCAGGTAGTACTTAAAGTAGAACTACCAAGTTTTTTTTGACTTTTAACTACGTTTCACAGTAAAGTTTATCCAGATAATACCTCTACAGAAAAGGAGAAAGCAGACGCACAAACGCAGACACCTTAAATACAACAGTTAAACAGGATGACGGGGAAAAACAATGCAAAGAAATGAATGAAAAAATGACAGCCCCTGTTGATGCTATCGTCAGCAACTTGCACTGGCATCGTCGCATTGAAGCAGCCTTCCTCCAGGAAAAGGCAGATGCAGCATCAACAAATTCTTCAACCTTGCTGGCTCCCCTCTGGTTCAACCTTCTTGTGGTGAAACTTCACCACTATGCAGGTAATATTGTCAGCACTACCTCGAGTAAATGCAGTTTCTGTTAGCTTCCTAGCAGCTGCTTCTGGTTCTTCTTCTGCTTGTGCAAGTGAAATAGCATCCTAAAGGATGACAAAAATCAGCAACTAAATGAAAAAACACCGATATCTAAAGAGATCACCCACAAAAGAGAAGCCGGTCTAGAAGTTCAGGCTTTGAGTTCTCAAAACAATTACAGTAACCTGTCAGAATGCTGTGATATAGCCTAAAAATCTTCAAGTTACCACCGAAAGGAGGCCAGGAAGACAGGAAACAGCGCGACTCTGAAAAAAAGAGATGGAAGGAAGAAAAGAGAAAGCAAGCGTGCCTACACGCACAGGATTTACCTCATTTGGTACAACATCCCAGAGCCCATCACTGGCAAGCACGAGTAGTTCTAATTCCTCATCAATCTCTTGATCCTGAAACATATAGAGAGATGATAAATGACTATGATAAATATCAAATGCCTTCAAGGCTCCAACTCTTTAGTTTCATAAGTAAATCCGTCCAACTTAGCAGCCCTTCTCCCCTCTATCCTCCCATAACCCAATCGGTCTAATTGTTTTATTCCTTAAAAGTACATCGTTCTTGGTACTAATTCTTTACAGGCCAACTTCACTAGGACTAGACTGTTAAAAAGGGCGTGTGTCGGATTCTAGCCCTGGCAACTGACAAAAGATTCCGAAGATGTGGAAATGACATTTTTATTAACTGATCATTAGGAAGCTGCTGCTTCTGTAGCCCCCCCAAAAAAGGAAAACAAAGATTTTCCGCAAGAGCGAAGTAGTTGAGTCCTCTTTGAATAGAAATATAATAAAATTAAAACATCTTTCTATTTTAGCCAATTAAGACAAGAAATTATGATGCAGAACTCATACACACAGGGCTTTTGCGAAGACGGCGGCGCTAGATAAATTGTTCATGAAGTGCAAGTGTTGGGCATAAGTCACATACATTTCCCAGTTATCTAAACTCTAACAATCCCTTAGAGCACATGCACTGACCTGCACCTCATATAGGCTGTCCATGCCAGTGCATGAAACCTAAAAATATTGCAGTACAGTGACTGCTTGAAGGTAGGCTGCAGGTCTTGTCAGAGGGGACACGACATCCTACTAATCCAATTGCTCAGCAAGTATATTCTTTTTTGGTTGGGTGGGGGAGCAAAGTATCGCAAGTCCTCCAGCCACTATGGCTTTCATTTTTACACATCTAAAGAAGCAAAAAAAAAAAATAGATTATAGATAAATCTACCTGAATCTCAGGTTCAGCCACGACAAATTGCTTCAACATACGGTTGCCAAAAGCACGTGACATTGCTAATACACCACCAACTCTCCAGGTACCTGATAATACAGAAACAGAAAGCATAAACGATGTATAGCACAGAGATTATACAAAAGTTCATGCAACAAATATGACAGCAGCAAGGGTCCACTCACCAAAGAAGACGTTCATTAAATGTGAGAACATTAGGTTAATCCAGCAGTAAATAGGGTTTTCCAAGAAAACAAATAGTTCGTTAGATGGATGCAAGTGGACATTACCACACATGCAAAACATCAATTTCAAGATGGAAGTGTAGCACGCACACGTGCAACCACATTTTAATACAAGTATAAGCGTAACTTGATTCCCACATGACCTATACCACTCTGCCCAATCTACCACTAACAGAAAGGTAAGAATAAACTGGAGGATTACCGAAAAATTCAAGTCAATACAACAATGAAGTCTCCTTTCGCTAGCTTCTTTATTCCAATAAAACAAATAGTTAGCTAGATGCATGCAAGTGGACATCCACATAGGCAAGGCATCTATTTCCAGATGGACACCTGCTCCACTACCACGCACTAAACATCTCATAGTTGTAGCATGCACACATGCAACAACATTTTAACAAAATTATAAGAGTAACTTGATTCCATGACGACCTATAACACTCTACCCAATCTACCACCTAAAGAATGGTACGACGAAACTGGAGAACTACCGAAAAATTTAAGCCAAACTTTATGAAAACAGTGAAATCTCCTTCCTTTAGCATCTTTCTTCCATTCTCCATGGTTTGCAGACATTTTAAGCCTCTACAATTACATCCATGTAGCCTAAAAATCTTCCCTTTGACAACTGTCTGTACCACAATGAATTAAATCGATGCAAAACAAATGGAGGACATACAAGTTGTGTCTTTGTATCAGATGACTAATTGATGACAAAACACATTCTCTTAAAGCATCAGAAAATTCACTACGATGTTCCATTTCTGACAGGACAACCCACAAGTTGAAACTATTAATTAACAGGCAAACAACCCAAATTTGAGCAATGCCTTATAGGCAGAGAAAATTGCTTACCAGCCCACATCACAACACCTCCGGCACTTTCAATTCTCTTCCTCTCATCAGTTCGATTGGGCTTATGATCCTCAGAAAGAGCAATTGCTGTCAAGCATGAAACTGAATTAATTAAGTGTCTAGTCAAGATGCTAGTTGTCTCAAGATTTTAGGCTACAAAATGACAAGAGAGTGACGATAAGCTATTAACTATAACATATGAGAGAAATATTACCATATAAAATACAGCATAAGGCATAAGAAAATAACAGAACTTCAGGACCATGGAGGATACCAATTATTTATTGCTTCAATTTCCAGCTATACTATCACTTCCACTTCTGTATATCGCAAAACGGGAAAAACCTACGTAATTGTACTAACTTGCTTAGTTGTTATCTGGTTTTACATGGTAATGCCTGCTTTAAAGGAAATGAAATTTCACATTTATAGAAATCACATGATCTAGCGAGCCCGCCAGTATCACATTTTTACATGAAGCAGAGATACCTATACAATAAAAAAAGGATCATTCATCATCCCCTGGTGGCTGCTGAAACTATCTGCTACTATTTCTATTCTCAAATTCCAGAACTTTTAAACTGTTACCAATCTGATGTTACCTTTTCCGCCCTTCGATATTATAGTCCGCGAATCTCCAACATTGGCAACATAGAGATGGTTACCAACTAGAACTGCTGTTGAAGCAGTGGAACCATCATCTCGGAAGGTATCTTTTTCAGAATCTAAGAAGTCCATGTCTGTTTGTTGATATGTTTCACCTGCAATATGATGAAAGTAGTCCACAAACTTAATGTCATGAGCAAAATAGAGTCGCACACCACTTTGTCCCAGTGAAGATAATAATGAATTGGACACACAGCTACAACTTCAGAAGTAATAGAATACAAAGAGAGAGAGAGACAGAAGACACCCACACACACACAGAGAAAGAGAGAGAGAAAAGTTTCTAAGTTTCAGTATTCTTGAACTGACGTGTTGCTCAAGTACTTTGCCCTTGTCATTGTCATGTGCGACGCATTTTAGATGTTATGACAGCATAAATATGTCAAACTTAGATATGTCAGCTTCAATGGACAGATCGCACATTTCGAGCCCACTGAGAAAGTACAAAAGTGGAGATTCATATTATGCATCCATAGGACAACAGATATGAACTCACTTATGGCCAACTTGGCGTTCGTTGGGAACTCTGGATGTTTCATTAGATTCTCAAAGAGATGTTTCTTCAGAAACTCAGCTGCTCGGGAACCACCATGGCCTGCAGTAACATGACATAATGATTAAAAAAGAGCAATGCTTATTCTACCTAGTCTGCAGAAATGTAAGAATTTAACAGTCAACCCTCAGAAAAGACCAAAGTTGTCACACACTCATAAAATATTTGAGACTAATATCGAAATACAGTTTTTAGATTAGAAAACTGTTCAGCTAGCTGCCAAGTGAGAGCAATCAAATAGCTGAAACTAAATGGAAAATAAATTTCAGAAACCCCACTTGGAGGTCACTATTAGTCTTTCGCTAGGGACCGCCTCTCTCTAAAGCCCCCACTGGAAAAAAAATTAAAGCAGTTAGATCGAAGGATATGTGATTTTAGAAAGGAGTACAAAACTCTCCCTAGTTTGAGGTTCTACCAATTCCATTCCAGTAGAGCATCCCTCTCTTTTGAACTGTAGGTAGCCTTTGCATTTCAACCGGAGTCAGATGTTGGTTTAGTATTTGTATGGTTTTATTTTGGAAGACAATAAGATCTTAAATATGGATTTTCATATGTTATGGAAGAATAAGTTCTGTGTGTTAAAATAGGTGTTTTCCGGAAAACAACCTTCTGGCTAGTTTTTTGTTTTTCAGAAAACAAACAGCTCTGCCCCGCACAATAAAAACAATAGCCTTTGGTTTTCAAAAACAAAACTGCTTTCAGGAAAATAACGATTTGTTCCGTAAAACAACAGACCCTTAGATTCACCAGTTCATGCAAACAATAGCTCACCGACCCGTATTCATGCAAAACACTAAGCTACTAATATAAAGACGAGGCATAGCAAATGCAAGCTTCAAGCCAGAAGATTCACAATGATTGACTTATTGGTCATTATGTAAATCCTAGATCATGTTCCAAGCTGAAGGATGATCGGCAAGTTCTAACCATCAAATATCCCAAATAAGCAAACTGTTTGTCCATCAACTTTGGAAGTTTTAATGTCATAAAAATCCTCCATGGTGGCTCTTTTCCCTCTAAAGCTTGAATAACCACAACTCAGTCTTCCATCTTCACTGCGAAGCAGGAATGGACGAAAAGAAGTATGAGCAATTTTTACAAACGAATTTTGACAACAAGTATGAGTTACTCATAGCAAAATACAAATGAACATCTATTATACATGTAGAGTAAACATGGTGATTAAAATGAAACATGTATCTTGTCAACTCACAACGAACAACATATAAAATTTCATCATAGCATATAACACCTACCCAGTCAATCTCAAAACCTTTATCGACATCATCCCTTTGAATGGCAAGGGTAAAGAAGCAAATGCATGAGAAAAAGTTTCTCCGAAGACAATATCACCAATACAACAAGCAGTTACACACTCTACTTTTTTACCAAATTAGGAGTTAAAATAGAACATACGAAAGCTTGTCATTTTTAGAAGTGAAGGTCACAAATTCTCTATCACCAAGAAAATCTTATAGGAGTAATAGTTTTGAACGGTTTTCTGCATATGATATCCCTAAGCTCTTTTCGTTGATTTTGTCAGAATATTCTGCTAGAAGTTAAAATTTTTGAACATCTCAAAAAACATAGGGCTGAAAAATTAACCCGTAAACCATCTGTTCTTCCGTCAATAAGTAGAATATTGATGTTACAAGCCTGTTTGTGAAACATTAGTATCATGCATCTGTACTCAGGAGGAGTAAGTTGTGAGACAAAGCTGTCGACTACGACAAAGACAAGGCAAACAAGGGAGCAGCTTTTTGAATGATCTAGTTGAGAAAAGTGTTGAAAGTAAGAGTAATATTAAACTTCAGAATATCAACTCTCCACACTCACCCATACCCTGTGCTAACTTCTTTTATTTTTTTGGCATTAAGTGCAGGCTAATATCTAAGTCAGAAAAAACGAGTTATGTTAAGGGACACTAATTTTCGACAAGGGCTGCACATTCATCCCCATAGAAATCTGGATGATCAAATCAAACATTGTGAGTATATTTCAGTCACAAAGCTTCATGGAGCTTATCAGAACCGTGCAGTGCAAAGTATGCGCCTTACTACCTCAATAAGCCAGAAGAACGCTAAGTGGAATCTACGAAGAATGCTATGTGTTTTGCATGACAAAGTCTATGATCCATGAATGCTCCATCAGGTAAAACTATTATTGGTTATCTTGCAACGATACATATCTCAAGGATATAATATTACAATATTACATCTGCTAAAATGAATCACCTCTTCCATCCTCCGCTTGCGAAACCACCATTATTATCATCCTTCTCTGGTGAAACATCAACGACAGGTCCTCCTTTAGCAGTTGCACCAATATCCACCATCATCGTTCTCCTTGCTGTATATACACTATTCCAAGAATAACTTATGCTACGAGTTGCATTCAAACTTTTAATGAGTTTGATAAATTTCCTTTGCTCAATGTGTCTATCAATATATGCTGCTTGAAAAACCACGAACCTTACGCAGCTATTGCATAACATCTAAATTTGAATTTGCCGCATTAACTGCCGGAACTTGAACCTGAGAAGAAAAAACACCAGCACCTACGATCATCAGATAATTCATTTAAAAAAATTTAATTAAAAAAAAAATCCTAACAATTGCTCAAAGACTATTAATTACCGTTTCTATCACTTTAACTGCTAAACATTGTTTAAGCATTTAATGAAATTACAAGTAGAGAGAGAATTAAACAATTTCCCCATATTCTCAGTGAATTAAATACAGTTTTAAAAAAATATACCGTCTCTACTTCAATTAATTCCTTCTTAAGAAAATCAGAAAGCGAAAAGAAAAAAAGAGAATCATGATGGATCTGATCTTACAATCAAAAGAGTAGATTCCGTGAATCTCGAATACATAACTCGAACGGTAGATCCTATAAATCAGCCTTTATTCCACGATAAGGTAAAAAAAATGAATATTAACAGATCGATCTGTGTAAAACATGCAGGTTCAGGTCTACAGAAATCGGAATCGAATGATGAAAAAAGGCAAGCACAGAAGATCGTAGTATATCTGGAATCAGATTCACCTCCAACTTTTTTCTCGATCCACAAATTAAATTAAATATATAAAAATAAAAAATAAAAAAAAATCCGAAGATAAATTAAAGAGAGAGGGAAAGACAGCGAGGAATCGAAGCCTCTTTTAAGCTTTCTCAATCCAGAAAGCTGAAAAGGAAGAATCAGGAAACCCTAAAAATCCAGAAAAAAAGTGATATGATGATATATATAATACGTAGAGAGGAGAGTAGTGTGTGCGTATGTGAAAATGAGTGAATGTATTTGTTGTGAAGTGGCGGAGGAGAGAGAGAGAAACTCACTCAGATTCGAGAGAGACGCCTGGCGTTTGAAGCTTGTCACCGAAGAGAGAATGGCAACGTGGCGTTCCACATGCATCCACTTTACATGCTTATAATCCTCTGTGCTTTGGACCCCACCATTTGTTGAAATGCCAGATTTATTACTCTTTCTTACTAAATAAAATTTTACATTTACGAGCTTACGTGGAGACGATGCGATTGGGGTACTTCCATGCCTCTTTGTCTATACTCTATACTGAAAATGGATCTGTCTTGCCAAACTTTTACAGCTTGTTTGGATTATTTTTATGTGCGGTTTTAGAATGTGTTGTATTGTAATGAATAATTTGATAAATATAATATTTAGATAAATAGTATCGTTTATTATCGTTTGATGATGTCATATATTATTAATATAAAAAATAAATTTATAATATTATTTAAAAAATAGAATACAAGATAAAATTATTATATAAAAAGTAATATAGAGGATAAAATATGATTATTTAATAATAAGAAAGGACAAGATCAGAGAAAATAATAAGTTAACAATGTCACCATACCAAATTCGTCGTTCCATAAAGTGACATTTTTCGTCATTATGTAACGACGGATTTAACGATACGATACAATAAAATTTAAGTAACACTCAAAACAAATATTGTATTTAAATTAACGATACAATATGTAAGAACCATCCAAACAACTTGTTAAAATTAGGTTTTAAAAAAAGTATTTCTAAAAAAAAATTGTAATAAAAAATAATTTATATTTGACTAATTAATTTTAAGCAACAATTTGTATTTGGCTTTTAAATATATTCTTTTCTCAAAAGTAGTAGTAGAAGATATTTATTTATTTTTTAGTTTTTCAAAAATTGCTTTTAGTTCTATTCAAAAGTACATACTTTTTCTTTCTTCTAAAAACTTAACCAAACAACTTAATTTTAAAAAAAAATTAGCAAAAAAAGCGAGGCCAAACAAACTGAAATCGAAATCACCCACGCTTGTGGTAAAATTGATAGATTCCCTTCATATTTAGTTGGAAGCTTTGATTTCGAGCCTAAAACCCAGACATTTATCCTTTTAATGAGTCTAATCAATTCAAATTTAAATTAATTGGATTTCAATACAGATTACAGACATGGAACACCAATTGAGGAAAATAAAGAATAATTGATTGAGAAACTAGGGACCAAGGAGGAATTTTCGGGCAAGCAAGTGATGTGTAAAGTAGTTTTTGATCTTTTTTTTTTAATTTACCAATTTTGTCCTAATCCTCTCTTCTAATAATTTTTAATTCATTGAAAGAGATGGTCGGCGAAGGCAATAAATGTTAGTACAAGGGTTGGATCTTCATCATCAATGTTGATTACTTACGAACGAAAGGATTAGACATTTAGTCTTGTTGCAAATGATCTGACTTAAATTTAACAATAAGTAACAAATTTAATGCTTCTTTTAATCCATTTGAGACCAATATACTACTTGTTAGTGTCTGAAATGGATATGCCAGCGCAAGTAGTTACCTAACTTATTTAGATCTTTACGCAAATAGTTGGTTAGATTACGATTTAATTTCTTAATTGATATACATAAATTATAATTTTAAACGTTAACATGTGATTCTTAGTTTCTTGTGTGGCTCACTGACCATTCTGCCCTTGGAAGGTGACTCCCCTAAATGATTCTACACTATCATTCACCACTAACATTGCGCATTGGTGCTTGATCCCTTCTTGTTCAGGCAAATTGAAGTCTATTTCAACGTTTATGTCAGTGTATGGGTCGAAATCCGCCTCAATACTTAGGATTAAGCAGTATCGAGAAAGGAGTCGACCTAGTCGACCAGGAGATGACAAAGTCCGTGGTCGAGATGTGGAAGATGGTCGATGTCAAGCGTCGTAAACAGAGCTGTAACGGCTAGTTTATTAGGGTATGAGATTAAAGAGAATATATTGAATATTCTCTGTACATGTACTATTAGGGTTTATTTGGGGTATGTCCCATATAAATAAATAAAAAAGATAATGAATAGAGGCATGTGATATTCATTGTGACAAGAGTAGACTTTACAAAATATTCTCTCCCTCTTGAAAAGATACAAAGAACACCTTTTAATCAAGATTCTTGTTTACATTATTCTGCACTTTTCCATCAGATCCGAGAAGATTTCGAATGTTCTAAGATCTGTCTGTCATTCATCATTGTCAGGAGGAATAATCACCTAGCTCATTATTTATTGGATGAATCATTCCTCTTATTTACTCAAATGCCATTATTACTATTTATTATCAATCCTTCTTTCATTATTTCTTATATTTTATAACTATTTAATACTTGAAACCCCCTGTTGGATCTGTTCCACCTCACACACGCTTTCAAAACTCGTATCTAGAGATATTATCATTAACTAGGTTTAACCCATTATTACATAAATATAATAGTTTTAGCCGAAAATTATACTCTTTGGTCAAACAATTTGGCACCATCTGTGAGAATCTTCTAGTTAAATTTTTAGTTTCTTCTAGATCTACAACTGACACTCGTTACTAACAAAAAAAAAACAAGAGCAAGATCCTTTTCTCTCTGCACACATAGATCTAATATGGCAGGTAACAGAGAAGAAAGATGAGAATAATGAGTGATCTCCCAACTAACCTTATGAACATAATTAATGAGAGCTCTGAAGCAGTAGACGAGGGCGCAACGCCCAATGCCTCTTCCAGGCGAGGTGGATCACACTATCCCCATGGCATCATCACAAAGTCTCTTGGCAAGGAAACCTCCACATCCGTGGCGGAGGAGGCGCCACCAGCAATAAAAAAGCTCCTAGAGGCCAGGCTAACTGACACGCTAACCAGCGTCCTCCATACGCTCGCTCGAGATGCGACTACAAATAAAGCAAGGACTTGCATTATACCACCAGCGAACGAGCAACATGGTCAACTCCTTCCTCCTCAAACGGCAGGTATTACTCACAATGTCATTAATAATGCATGTGACGACACTCTCACAACCATTTTAAAATGAATTGAGGAAATGGAAAATGAGAACAAAACGCTTCGAGATCAAATAAGAGAAAACAAAGAGGGGGTCGATTAGATACCGGGCACCCCTAAGATCTTGCCGAAGAGATATACCGGACGGTTCGTCGAGCAGCCGTACAGTGATAATGCCGCCCCACATGCCATACCAAAGACCTTTAAGATGTTGCCCTATCTGAAAATACATGATGGCACGACCGCCGTGAAAGGCAATGACCTTGCCAAGGAACAAGTATCCTGCATTTTGTTAAAGGAGTTCGGCGAGACCATCACGGGTGGAGCGTTAACTTGGTACTCACAACTGCCAGCACGCTCTATTGAAACCTTCAAAGAAATGGCCGATAAGTTCGTAACGGCCCATGCTGGAGCCAAAAAGGCAGAGGCGAGAGTAAACGACATATTTGCTATTAAACAGTCTCCTGGAGAAGGATTGAGGGATTCCTCGCCCGGTTCAACCGAGTGAAAATGACCTTGCCAAATGTATCGGAAGGGACGACGATCGCAGCTTTTCAAAACGGACTGAGCAGAAATTCGAGGGCGACAAAAAAGCTACTGAGTCGACTTATGAAGTACCCCCAACTAGTTGGGATGAGATACACAACACATATTGCACCGCAGTCTGAGCTAACGAGGATAACCTCAATGGGCCCACCATCGATTGACCTTGATGCAAGCAGAATCCAGGAAAGTTAGAAGAAATGATATCAGAAGAGGCCTCGCAGCCTCATGACCCAACCGGGAACGACATCTACCATATGTTAGAACCGCCACTACGTCCTCATCTTGCCACGAAGAAGGCCCACCCCTATCAAAAATAGGGACTCACTAGAACAACAGAGATATGCCCCCTTTATTATCCGCTCACAATTTTTGTGTGTCACCTACAGAAATAGTCTAAACCTTGGAGAAGCTCGGATCGAAGGTGAAGTGGCCGCAAAAGATGGGGTCAGACCCGAATACCATAAAATTAGATGCCCTCTATGAGTTCCATCAATAGCGAGGACACAAAACTGAAGATTGCATCATCCTAAGATAGGAGGTCGTAAACATGCTACAACAGGGACACCTCAAAGAGTTGTTGAACGACCGGGGAGGGATAAACTTTGCCAGAGGACGTGAACAACATCAAGGACCGCCGAAACCACCCTCGCGCGACCTATACCATCCACATGATTATCGGGGGAGGCGACGATGCTTCCATCAATAGTGTGAAGTTCACCACAACACACAAGCTCAAATGGTCGATCACCCACGAACGATATGATGAACTCAAAGAAAGTATCATCTTCGATAAGTCAGATACCAACGGTTTGGTTCTCCCTCACTATGATGCTCTTGTTATCACTTTACGTATTTTAGATACTGATGTGAGGCAAATTATTGTAGACAATGGGAGCGACACATGCATTATCCACCCTCGAGTGCTTGCACAAATGAAACTTGAGGATAAGATAGTGTCGCGCTGCATCACACTAACGGGTTTTAACAATGCAGTCGAGCGAACATTCGGTGAGATCACACTCCCCATCCTGGCCGGTGGCGTCACGCTGGAAACCATGTTCCATACCATTGACCAAGACACAACGTACAATGCCATAATAGGGCGACCATGGATACACACCATGAGAGCCATCCCTTCCAGCTTGTACCAAGTCATCAAATTCCCAACTTCATGGGGGATATTCAGTATACGAGGGGAACAACGCACATCCCAGGAATGCTACCGCATCGCCTTAGACCGTGCAGCCACCCAACAAACAAAGGACGAAGAAAAAGAGGCATAACAATCAACAGGGTCGAGGTCGATATGTGATGACAACGAGGACGTCATCAGAGACCCCGATACGATCGAAGCTGCAAGATCAACCGTAGAGGACCTCGGCCCCGTTTAATTAGACAACAACGACCACAGCAGGAAAGCTTATATCGACTGCAA